GGGGGATGGAGAAGGGAAAAGAAGGGCAAAGGTCTCTTCAAAGCCTCTGAATCCACAAGGGTTAGGTCAGTTCCCTGGCTCGGTCTGCAGCCCTGAGCCCCCACCAATCCTCCGGTTTCAGAATCACTGACCCTCCCGCTACCAGTGGCCACGGCGACTTGCCCCTGAGCTTGAGGCCTCACCACCATACCAGGAGGCTCTGAATCAACGGGGACCCCCCCCCATCATCTCCATCCCCTCCTTGAACGACTTGATGAGACAGTGGGAAGTGAGAGCTCCTCCTATTAAGGCCTAGCCCAGGAAAAGATGTCAGGCGTCAAGGAAGTTGGGGGAGATGGGGTGGCCGACCAGGTACCAGAATCCTGTCTTTGGTTGATATACTCATTCTACGAACATTTCCTGAGCCCCTCCTTGTGCCGGCCAGCACCGGATACTAAGACACCCCAAGAGTGACACACAGTCTCTATAGGAAAGGCAGACAGGTAAACAATGACCACATCTTGTGTTCAGCCCTGCCCTGAGCAGGAAATACTGGCAGGAGAGGCAAAGGAGGTGCCTCCTCCAGAGTCCAGAGGCTTCCTGGAAGGGGTGGTGCCAGAGCTGTTTCCAAGGGCAGAGAGGGGATAACCCATTGAGGAAGGAGAAGAAGGGAAGGTGGCTCAGGAGGGCAAAAGAAATTGAAGAGGAAGGCAGGGGCCAGAGCCAGAAGGTCCTGCAGGTCAACCTAAAAAGCCTGGATTGAGGGAAGGGGGGACGTCACTTGAGTTTAAGCCTGTGAAAGAAGAGGTCAGATTTATATTCTTTACAGACTCTGCCTTCCTCAGGTTCTCTGGGGATGCCTGGGTTGGGTGTGGAAATACACACACAGGTAGGCAAACAGGAAGAGGAACCAGGTGCAATTCAAGTTTGTTAAGATGGTTCCCCGCCTTCTTCCATCACACCTGGAGAAACTGACGTTAGCGATCTAGATATAGTATGATCTTGGGCAGGGGACTGAGCCTCCTGCATCTGTAAAATGGGTGCTTACCATCTCCAGGAGTTATTGTGAGGCTTCAGTGGAATTACTTGTTCACTCTTATTTAACACATACTTAACACCTCCCAAGTGGCAGGCACTGTGCCAGGTGTTGGCGTTAAGGCATTGAACAAGACAGACATGGACCCTGTCCTCTCTCTCTCCTGGAACTCTATTCCAGTGGAGAAAACAGACAATAAACAAACACATGAGATAATTATAGATTTTGTTAAAGTGCTGTGAAGGAAACAAACAATAGGACATGAAGGAGGATAACTGGAGGTGGGGTCGGGGAATGGGCTTGCTTCCCTCAATCTAAGGAAACCTGATGAAACCTGATGGTTTAGAGCTCCGAAAAAAGCATCCAGACACAAGAAATTGCAGGTGCAAAGGCCCTGAGGTGGGAGATCAAAAGAAAGATGCTAAGCTTCCTGAGGGCACTTAGCTAGGTCTCCTTTCTTCTCCCAGCCTTCTGGTTAAATATTTTCTATTGGCCAGGCCAGTAGAAAAGGAGGGGAATTTCCATCCTGCTGGGCCAAGCCCATTCTCCCACCTCCACTCCCTGGAATGGTACTGGGGAGCTGCAGGCCTCAAAAGCCAGCCCATCTGCCCAGCTTAATCTTCCAGCTGTGCTATAGTCCCCTCCCCACCAGTCTCAGGATAGGTCTCAGCCCATGTCGGTTCCTTTCCGGGGTTCCCAGGCCCCTTCTTGGGCCGGAGGGGCAGGTCGTGGCCCCTCCTGAATCTCCCAATCCAGAGCCTGACTGAACAGAATTTAGTACCTGACCAGCAGAGGCTGAGCCCCGGGTGAAGATGGCCACGGGGCTTAGGGGTTCAGGCCTTTTGGAGTCTCCCCCTTGGCCTGGCTCTCACTTCAGGGAGGTGGCCTCTGTTTCCCCGCACATGGCTACATTTCACACACAGCCACCCGCCCCTGCTGCAGAGAGCACACAGCTCTTCTCACACACTCACCATCCAGCTGCACACTGCGTCACCATAGCAACCAGTAGGCCTGGTCCATGGATGTTAGAAATAAGTGCCAGAGGAAGAGGAGAGAGAGGGGGAAGAGGGAGGGAGGGAGGGAGAGAGAATGAGAAGAGAAATAGAAAGATAGCCTCCCGAGGAGAACCCTACCTACCCTTTCCTTGCACGGACCCAGGCCCTGAGGGTGGAGGGGATCCTGGTTAGGACTAAGTAGTAGGTTAGGAGCTATGTGGACACAGGCATTGGGGCATCACCGTGGGTAGTGAGGAGGGCGCGCAGGACCAAGGGAACTTGCTTGACAGTCTAGAGTCTTGGGATAAGAAGAATCAGTCTAGGTAAAAGGCAGATAAGGGGGATGGGGGGGAGGCTTAGGGGAGCTCCTTTCTCTGCTTCCCGGCCTAATTGGCTGTTCAGGCTGAAACCACCTCTTAGTCACTTAGTCTAATTAGAATTGTTCCGGAGAAGATGGTGGGGGAGGGGAGGAGAAGCAGGGGTGTGAGGGGAAGGGTGGGTGGAGACAGTTGAGAGGCGGTGGAATGGGATTTCCTCCAACACCTGCCATTTATCCTATCACCACCCAATGCATGGGGCAGGCTGTAACTTACCCCAGTGGGCTGGGGGTCACTCTGACACCCGCCCCCCCTGCTGCCACTGTCGCCCCTCACACTCACCTGCTTTCTACTCGGCCTCTCCCACCTCTGTGACGCTGTAGCTCTCACTCTCACTCTCTGCTCCCCGCTCTGGCTCCCCCCCTGCCTTTGTCCCTGGAAGGTCTCCTGACCTCTGGCCACCAGGGTCTGCCTCCTGAGAAGGTAAAGGACTGATAAGTGCTGATGGGGCCGATCCACTGGGGAGTGGAGGAGGACCGGGGGAAGGAATTGTATGAGAGAAGTCTCATCTTTGGGAGGTAAAAGGGGGTGGGGCAGACACACACACATACAGAAGACAAGGTATGTGAGAGTTTGGCCTCTGGGCTGGGCAGTCTGATTGCCTTTGACAAGTTACTTAACCTCTCTGAGCATCACTTTCTCTAACTATAAAAGAGGGTACTAAGGCGAGAATGTACATAAACTTCTTAGCACGGTAAACCATAAGGGCTCAATAAATGGCAGCTTTCAGCATCACTCCAGACTCCTTTCCTTCATCTGGACCCTTCCAGAGCCAGGACATCTGCATCCTCACCTCCTCCTCCTGCTGCTTCCCCACTCTCAGGTACTAGACCCAACCCCCATGCCTGGCTCTCCAAGCTCTGAGGTGGGTATCCTCATGTGTGGGAGTAGCTGTGTGGGGTGAGGCTGGGATCCTGCCCCTGCCCACAGAGTCTGGAGGAACAGGCTCCTCCTCCAGCTCAGGGTCTGTTTTTCCCTTCTCCGTAGGCCTGGGAGGAGAGGAAAGGGGACAGCCATAAATGATGTAGGGAAGTATACTTGCTGAGGGGGACAAGAAGGGATGAGCAGCGTCCAGAAGCCTAAATATTTCATGGGTCTGCAGCACTGGGAAGGGCAAAGTCCCCGAGCTGTGTTTGTGTGTGTGCGCGTGACTCCACGTGGCTTGGAGCAGTTCCATATGCCCAGTGCCCTCTGCACCCTCGACCCTCAAAAACATGCGCCCATGGAGAGCTGTCCCCATGAACCCTTTCCTGGCTAGGATCCCACCACAACCTTCTCAGCACATGTATATTTTCTCTTTTTTTTTCTTTTTTTTTTTTTTTTTTGGTTGGGGTT